TTACTTGGAGTTAAAAAAAAACCGTTGCCTGGCTCCAACCCTTGGACATCCCGATTTAATTGCTGTGGGGCACATACTGCAAATCAAGATTGTTTAAAGCTTCCCAAGTGATTCCAGCTTGCCCCAAAGTTTGGAGATCCCTGGTCTCAGCTAATCCCTGTGATCCTCTTTTTTAGTAGCCTGGTCAAGAGTAAAACTTCCAAGTTGATCATGGCTGTAAATCAATGAATTGGATTCCTTTTTCTTCGGGGAAGGTAAACAGGTTAGAAGAAAAAAAAGGGAGGGAGGAGAATTTGCCTTTTTTTTTTTTAAATTATGTTAATCACCATACATTACATCATTAGTTTTTGATGTAGTGTTCCATGATTCGTTGTTTGCGTATAACACCCAGTGCTCCATGCAGAACGTGCCCTCTTTAATACCCATCACCAGGCTAACCCATCCCCCCACCCCCCTCCCCTCTAGAACCCTCAGTTTGTTTTTCAGAGTCCATCATCTCTCATGGTTTGTCTCCCCCTCCAAATTGGGTATATGCTATGGTTAGCACTGTGAATTGTATAAGACTGTTGGATCACAGACCTGTACCTCTGAAATAAATAATACATTATATATTAAAAAAAGAAAAGAAGAAGATAGCAGGAGAGGAAGAATGAAGGGGGGAAATAGGAGAATTTGCTTTTATCAGGCACCTGTTTTGAAAGGGCATTCGGCTCTTTTACCCATTATCTCAGTAACTCTGCTACTTAAACATTATGATTCCATTTTAAAGATGCCGTAACTGATCACAGAGAGCTTAAGGTCATTCCTTAGGAATTTGGAACAGGACCTTCGGTTTTGTGTTCTGGGTCCTTTCCACCACTCTGTGACAGCCATTTAGCCTTCCTTCATGTTCCCAGTGCTGTCTCCCACCCTCTTCATCTTCCCTTCTTTAGCTTTCTGGCAAAATGCTGGTATCCAGCATTTATGTATCAATGCCAAACAAAGTCAGTGTTAATAGTTTTTTTTGGAGGGAGGAGCAGTTTTGCATTTTACGTTTAAACCCGACGCGGGAGCCAGGAAATGACCTACTTCATTCCAGGATGGTAGCCGTATACATATGGTAGCATGATAAGCAGTGCATATAGTGCAGAAAGGGGCCCCTTCTGAGCAAAGCACTGGTACAGGATAGCTTATGGCTGTGTATCAGTAAGGCTGGCCCTGCTTTTCCACCTCCCAGATTATCTAAAGAATTTGCAAGGAGTAGGAACAGATGTAGGCAAATGCTCTCCCTGGATAACAGTTTATTCATTTAGCATTCATGGAGCACCTACTGTGTGCTAGGCACGAGGAGTGAAAAGATAACTAAAATATTTATGACCTGAAAGGCATTTACCATTGAGTAGCAAAGGCAGACATATGAACAATAATTACAATAAAATATGGGGACTATAGTCATAGAAGTGTGTTGATGGAGGCGCAGACGAGGGGTGGTGGGTCACACTGGGCCACCACAGGGAGGACAGTGGGAGACAGCATCCTGGAGTAGTTCATCAAGGAGGGGACTTTTGAAGCAGGTGGTTGGGATCCCTCATTCCACCCCTTTGGTGATCATGGGAACACCAATGCTGGAGGGTTCGTTCCCCGAACTGGGTAGGGCAGGTGTCAAAGAGGAAATGCAGGGTAGAAATAGTTGAATGACTTCTTTCCCAGGGTCGCAAAAACAGTCAGAGGGAGAAATTAGACTCCCACGCAAGTGTTCTGACTCCGAGTTTAGTGTTCTTTCCATGACACTGAGTTTCCTCTGCTGGTTCAGCTGCTGGCAGGGCCACGTAGCTGAGAACGTCGTCGGTGACATGTGGCATCAAGTGACATCTTGATTATTTTTTCCAGTTGAACCAGGTTGCCAAAGAAAAGTCTTTCTCCCTTCTGAACCCAGGCAGTGAATGCACTATCTCAAATGGAGAAGAGAGCCTTAAAATGAAGAACTCCAGAAAGCCTTAGGTATAAAATAAAATCTGAGATGTATAGTTCTATTCAGAAATTTATGGTCCAAATACAGGTGTCTATAAATATTTAAAATCACCAACACTGTTTTGCCTTGGGTATTATATAGTTTCATATTTTACAAATTAGACTTTATACAAATACATGCAATTTTTATTTCAGATGCTCCTAAATCATTTGCATTCATCATCCTCCCCCCCATCTTTATTACCAGCTTATGCCACTGCCAATTCACTGATAATTCCCAAATACGTTTCTCCAGCCACAGATTTCTTCAACATCTTTCCCGAGGCCAGCGGAATCTGGCTATTTCATAGGCCTTTAAAACTAACATATCTCCACCCGAATTCATTATTTTCTTAGCATGGGCTTAATTTATACCTCTTTAACATGATACCATTAATTTAGTTGTCCAAGCCAGGCACTTAAGTCTGTTGATCTCAGGTCCCTGCCAAATATCCCTCCAACACCCCCCTCCCCAACCTCACCGCCATGCTTCTGTTCCAGGCCTTCGTTCTTTGCCTCCTCACAGCTGAGTGGACCTTAACAGTATTCCCAGAAACAATGAGAATTTTCCGACACTTATTTCATCTTTCTTAGCACACAGAGAATTGTCCAGCTAGCTTAAACAAAACCAGAAACCTCTTCTTATTTTATTTCAATATTCAGATCTTTCTAAAACGCTGGTACATTGTCCTGTGTCAGTTAAGGAAAATACCTTGATGATAAATTTCTTTGATGATTTAAGCTTTTATTGTGTCTCAAGGCCATTATTGTCAACACTGGTGATTATTATACACTGTCCATGTTGCAGTCAGCACGGCATTCGGCTTAAAGGAATGTATTATTCTCTTTAAGTTCAGTTTTAAAATAAACTATTCTTACATCACTGGTTCTTAGCCTTTCTGGAGTCATGAACCCTTCTGAGAATGTGATAAAAGTTATGGGTCTTCTCTTGAGAACAATGCGGACACATGCACACACATATGTGCATTTTGCCTACAACTTTAAGACTCTTAATCTATCCATGGATCCTTAGAGCTATCATGCAATCTGGCCTGAGGACCCCTGTCCCATATGAAATTGTTTTCATGTCAGAGGCATGGTATAAATTTCTGTTTGTTTGTTTATTTTAGATTTCATTTATTTTAGAGAGAGAGTGAGTGAGCGAGCAGGTTGGGGGGGGGGCAGAGGGAGAAGGAGAGAGTGTGAAGCTGACTCTGCACTGAGCCCAGAACCTGACGCGGGGGCTCTGTTTCATGACCCTGAGATCATGACCTGAGCTGAAACCAAGAGTCAGCTTAATGACTGAACCAGCCAGGTGCCGCTAACTTTCTGTTTTAAATAGGTGTTCTAATTACCCTGGTCCTAGTTGATGTGATTAGCTGTAGTATTTGCCCACAGTTTGTACCAGGTTTTGAGTCTGGACTGGGACAAGGTGATTTCTGCACAATCATCCTGATTCTGCCCTTAGCTAGCTATAGGACTTTGTGAAGTCTTGTAACTAGCAAGTAGAAATCAACTTAGATTCTCAGCCAGGGGACATTATGTTCTATTAACTTTGTACAATTTTTTAGAAAATCGACTCTGGTGTAAAATGCGGTCCACCTGCCATGATAATATTTTATTGTGTGGGAAGAGTGCTTTTGCTTCTGCTATTTCATTTATCCTAACCAAAACTGGTGAGAAGGTCAATGAGTTATAAGTCTTCAGTAAGGATAAATAAGGAAAGGAACCCTGAGAGGCTTTCTCAGAGTTAGTTGCAAAGAGGAAATATGTAGGAGACTGTTCTCTGGTTCTAGCTCCCGAGTCTCTTCACCATAAGCCTGTGCTCTTCAACTAATTTCATGATTTAATTCAAGCTAAATATGAGTCTAAGGCATCCAGGCAAAAATGGTTGGATCAGTTCCTATCAAGTGAGGTCTGTATAACAATCTGATTGTGTAAGTTACAGTAATTTATAGGCAAGCATGAATGATAGTCAATAACATTTTAGCTGATATGGTGGGCTATTGGTACACTCAGTTAATTATTTTATCTCATATAAAAGAGACCATCTTAGAAAATGTAAGTTTGAACATACTTTTGTATATGGATTTTATTGAGCTACCCTTAAGTATACTCAGAAATTAGAAATATGATCTTTGTTAGCTTTACCTGAGCTCCTTAGCATATTTTTGTATCCCCCCAAAAAACCAGCCTTCCTAGGCTGAGCCCTCTTTTCCTTTCTCTCCCACATTCCTGTTTTAGACTTGTAGAAGCTTAGAGTTGGACTGACCTTGGAGACTGGTTAGATCTCTTCCTTCACAAGAGGGAAACTGAGGCTCAGAATTATTAAATAATTTGCCAGAGGTTACACAGAGCTGATCAGTAGCAGATGCAAGATGAGGTCACCGGTCTCACAGTTACTGGTCCTCACTTATTTTCCTTTCTAAACAGAAAAACTAATGTGACACTTAGAAAATTCAAAATATGGCAGAAAAAGGCTCACAACAGCTAAAAAGCCACAATGATTAAGTTTTGTCCACTACCCCCACACTCATGACAGTCTACCTCCTCATAATATGCTTCTCCGATTAAATAATTCCACCTCGGATCTTAATTGGTGGTTTTCTAGGGACTATCCGAAATAGGGAGAAACAAGCTTGCAGTTTTTTCAGTTACAAGGAGTAAAATTTTTGCTACATAAAACTTGCAATTTCTGTGAGATTGGAAAGTGGCGTCCTAGCTTTCCAAAGGGCAGTTTTGTGTCCATCAGTACATCAGAAGTGATTTAAGGACAGCTGGTGTTGTACTTAGGCAAACCAGAAGAGGCAGGGAAAAATGCATAACACTGTCAGAAAGGAATTGAGAGAGGAAGAAGAGATGAAAAATAAACCCCAGAAACAGAGAAGAGTGATGTCACACGTAGAAGTGAACAGTGTGGAACAGAGAGAATGATCAATACACCCAATAATAGTAAATAATGGCTTTATGGGCAAAGTCAGACTTGAACTTGGCCTTGACCAGTAGATAAAATTTGAATAGCAAAGAGGCAGAAGGGGGCATGGAATGCTTGGGCAGTGACCTTGGGGTTAACAAAGGGTGAAGTGGGCAATGGGTGAGCAGCCTGACTGCAAGATGTGAGGAGGTAGAAATGAAGTTGAATCAGTAGGCAGGTAAGCAAAGAGCTTGATAGTGAGGGCTCAAGGCACCTGATTTTGAACCCCAGCTGTATAACTCTGGGCAAATTACTTAACTGCTCAGTGCCTCAGTTTCCTTGGGTAGAATGGGAACACCAATAATCCTCCTCTCCTGTTCTTATAGAGAAGATTTAATTAATTAGATTTACAAGTTCTAAACACAAGCAAAGTTTAAGACAGCAACTTCCATGCATACCATCCATCTTAGTAAGCAATTTTTTTTTTTTGCCCTTTGGTTTGGTTGGAAAGTTAAACCGAACATGCTACAACAATATTAACTATTATATTTAGGGTGAAGCCAGAAAATAAAGACTTGAACGTCGTCTGAGGAGTTTGGACTTGAATAAACAACAGAGAGCAGTTCTTGGCCAGAGGTGGATTTAGAGAATCCAGGTTTAGGAAGGATCTCTTCAGACTCCAGAGAACTGGAATACTCTGCCTCTACCCTTTGCTCATTGTTCAAACATCTCACTCCTTGGCTGCCTAGAGTGGTATGTGGATTGGTGGTCTGTCCGGAAATAAAAATGGATTTCAAGGGATTAAAGTTAGTCAAATTTTTATGGGTCTTTCTTTTTTTTTTTTTTTTTTGCAGTGACTCTTTAAAGGTCCAGTTCTAAGGCTAATAAGTAATAAAGCTGGAGAACCAGGGTGTAGACTGAATATTAACAAGCCTCTCTTGGATAGATACTAAAATGTTAGCAAGAACATCAGTAGTACTTGCTTGAGTTCTGAATGGGCCCTTGCCTGCTTTAGAATCATCTTTGACACTGATGACCTCCAAGCACTGGGCAAGACTGCACCAGTTCATCTTTCTGGCGTTCTAAGGAGACTGATACGCAGAGCCAGAGAGCTGTGTCCAATTGTTAAGGGTGAGGAGGCACCATTCAAGTTTTGGGATCTATTAGTCAATAGTCCTGAGACACTCTTAGGGCTACTTTAGGGAGGCTCTCTTCCAATTCTGATCATCTGGTCTTTGCGTAATTACAATATCCTCCCTACAGAATTTGTTAGTGATTCTTGGTGTAGGACTCTAAAGGGAAAAGACCTAACAAGTTACTTGTTATTTTCATTCCATTTAGCCAACCTCTCAAATAGGTAAACTAGTCTTTAAACCTACAGCAGCTGCAGATGATCTTGGATGAGAGAAAAAGTTTTTCTCCCAGTCAGCTTTGCTTTTCAGATGTGACACTCTCCTCCACACTTTATTTTTTGCAACCCTGGCTCATGCGGTCGTCATCTTTTAGGGGTTTGGAATCTGTGGGAATAATGACTTCACCAATCCATGATGGTGACCAAGGTCAACAAAAAAAGAGGCACAGTGTGGAAAAAAAATTCCTAAGCCCATTCTTCTGCTCCAGATCGGGGATTAGCGATAAAGAAGGAAAAACTATTGGCCAAACCTGGCACTAGATATTTATTTTTCGGCAATGGGCATATGGTGATTAATATGCACAATATTATGATTAATAGAAGCTACATAAAACACACGGATGTACAAATAACAGAAACTAAATATTATAGAGACATGATCTCTGCTTTACCTGTCACGTGGCCACACCACGTAAAATACATTCTCATGTTTGCAGAAACAAATATCCAGAGTTATTGTTGAGACCTTTCGTGCTGATTCTAGAGAACGTAATTATAAAAATGACAAATACAGTGACTAGCCGGCCATAATATCTTTGTATGAAGAAAAAGTTTTCCTGCTGTTGTAGGGGAATTCAGATAAAAAGCTAGTAATCCTTTCTGCCCTTTCAAACTCCCCTGGTGGGTCAGGTGCCAGGAGCCCCCCAAATTTCCTGGTGTGTCTGTAGAGCCCCTCACATAGGGGGCTTGGGCTTTTATTTCTCTCTTTCTCTCTCTCCCTTTTTTCTTCCCTGCCCCCTTCCCATTTTTAAAAGGCTTTAAAGAACATCTCTGGGAGACAAAAATAGCTCCAGTTGTGAGAGGCCTACACACCGAGAAGGCATCTGAGATGCAAGTCAGCAAGTGCGAGCCGCGAACATGAGTGTCTGGCCCGGGGTGGATGCTCCTCGCTGTCTTGGTGCCGATTCTCTGCCTGGGCCCGGTGGGTAGAAGGGAAAATGGTGTTTCAGGGGCGGGAGGTGGGTCGAGGTAGGTTTGGGGTCCGCTGACGGAAGGAATCGCCACGCCAGCATTGGGGCTGAGGGGCCGGTCCTTCCCCTCCCCCCCCCTGCACCTTTTGAAAATTTATTTTGCCCAGGCGGGGATTGGCGACGGCCAAAAGGGAACAGTTAGCACTGAATGTCACCCTGAAGGTAAAATGAAAGACAAAAGATGAACGCATGCTTGCTTTCCCTTTGCAGCGGCTGCTGCGGCGGGTTGGAGCGCAGGATTTAAAGGGGAAAAAACCCCCCACGCGCACACACACACACACACACACCCAGAGGCGTCAATTATGCAAACGCAATAATGCAATCACATCCTGACAGTGCCGGGAATGTTTTTTGTTTTTTTTTTTAAACACAGATATTTATTTCTAAAAAAAGGGGGAGAGAGAAACGCATGCAAACAGAAACGTGCACATACCACGTAACCACCCGAGGAGAACCTGGCAGCCTCTCTCTTCTTCTGCCAAGTTGTCATTGAGAAAACAGACAGGCATCATGACGTCCTGGGTCACAGGGAGTGCGGACCGACGCTACCAAGAGAAAAGGGAGGCGCCCCGGCGCTCCGGCTAGCCGCGGGCGCCCCTCTGCCCCTCGCAGCCCGGCTCGGTGAGTGCACAGCCGCTCGGGACGCGGACCCCGGGGGCCAGGCCGGCCCCGCGCCCGCGGGGGCAGAGCGGGTGGCCGTGCCCTTGCCACCGGCGGGCCGGCCAGCACCCCCTCGCCTGCTGAGGTCGCGGGAGCCCAGTGAAAGGAGGCGTGTGTAGGATGTGCGATGTTCCTGCATGGGGGTTTTGTAGACTTTCATAGCCCAAGAAACCGGCTTCGGCTTCTTTAAAATCCCCGACGACTCACCTGGTTAACCTGCTGCAGTTCTGACCCTGCCAAGGTAACTGGTCCAAATCCTTATCACCAACATCTGGAGACAGACATTTGCATCTGGGGCATTCTTGATTTGCAGTCCTGGTTGAAATCGCTATTGCTACCCCCTTCCCCCTTCACTTGTTTAGAGTCTCTTGGAAAAAAAAAAAAAAAAAAAAGCAATCCCCCTCCCCCCCCACCCCATAACACAACCATAAGTACCGTCCACCTCTTGTAGACTTGCCTTACCATGACTGCAAAACTGTCAGCGTGTGTGCTGGAGACACAGATAAATTCTAATTTCAATGAGATTTGTTCTTTAAACACCTCTCCCATCCCCCTCCCTGGATAGACTTCAGTGCTTGGTAAAGTGGCAAAGAGTGAGGGCAGAGTTAGGGCAGTGGACTGGGAGGGGTTGGGGTGAGTCCTCGGGGTCTTCTGGGGTGAGGGGCTCTGGGGCGGGGGTCGTTGGGGGAGAGGGCGGTGTCAGGAGTTGAGGACTGCTGTCGTGGGCTGGAAGATCCTTCTGGTGATTGCTGCTGCCCTAGTCCTAGGTGTCTCCTCCTGTCCTCTACGCCTCATTCCCTCCCGGCTCCCCAACCCGTTCACCTTCCAGAGGGAGGGAGTCTCTGAAGTTGCACGGAGGTCACCCGCCCGTCATTTAAGTATTTCAAACCACCTACCCCCTTCTGCCCCTCAAGTATGTCAGAAGCGGCTGCAGGATAGAGCTCCCCCCCTCCATGTTTGGTGACGGGAGATCCTCAGAGAGAGAAAGACACAGAGGGCAAATCCCCCCTCCTCCCCTTCTCTTCCCTTCCGGCAACCTTTTCCTAGCTGCACCCCCTCCCCCTTTCAGAATCTTAATGAGCGATTCTGGAAGAGTCCGGAAGGGCCTGGAGAAACCCCCGCTTGCCTCAGTGCTGTGGAATGATTATGTATGTGTTTGTTTATTGTGCTTGCTTCGGTTATGTTGTGAATTGCCACATGGGTCTGCTGGAGCTAGGGAGACACGTTTGCTGTGTGTGTGTTGTAGTACCAGAACCACTGGCCCTGGGATAAGACACAGACACGCACGGAAAGCAAATGATTTTGCTAACGTAAACCAGAGGGCAATGTTGAAAATAGCACCTTCTCTCTCTCTCTTTAAAAAAAAAAAAAGAAGAAAAAAAAAAAGAAAAATGCCCAGCATGTGAGTTAAGAGAAGCTGTTAGGTCCACATATGACCTCCTACTACTTTCAAAACACTACTGCTTAATACTTTAAGTCAGGATCAAGAGACCTGCGGATGTTTTGAAGTGTTTCAGAGCAGCTGAATGACTTGGTCTAGTTTTGAAGAGAAACTCTCCTTTGTTTCTCATGCTGCCCAAAGACCAAATAGGGGAGTGTGTTTGGAAAATGCCCAAATTCAGAAGCAGCCCGCAGGAGAAAAGAGGAAGAAATGTCCTCAAGGGGAAGGCAGGGAGTGGGATTGGGGAAGAGTGTCAGGGTGCTTTTTGTGTTTTGTTTTGGCTTGTTTTGTTTTTTTCCTGTCCAGTGGATTTGATGTTATCAGAATGAGGTAGCCAACCTAAGAGACAGTCCTATCATTGTGGGAAAGAGAGGGAAATTTAAACAGTTCTCAAATCTGAGTTGAGGAAGAGCCGACAGAAATAAGGTGCCTGAAAACATTGATGGAGATCGAGTGACAGTGATTTCCCCTTCAAATATGAAAAGAACCAAGTATATCATGAAACAGGCCCAGATGACCTTTCAGACATGTATTTTCGTGTTCTGCATGACTGTTGTTTTCACTAAAACCATTCTCATAACTCTTTAAACTCACACGACAGAGAGGTTTGTGTATTGAGAATGGTATCAGGTGGCGCATAAGACTGTCCGTTGACTGGGGCGGTGAACGCAGATGAAAGATGATTTGTTCTCTTTAATAAATCAAAATAAGCATTTAAATCTTTGTGCACGGTAGGACTGAAGTCTGTTGGTCTTGAACAGGAGTTGCAAGGGTAGCAAAGATACTTTCTGATAGGTGGTGCTTTCACAAAATAGAGCAGATCAATCGATTAGGTTTCCATGTGTGTGCCACTCAATTTATTCTGTACAATTTTTCGAGAAATTAAAAGGTTACCAAGAGAGTACCATGCTCCCATCTCCAACTGAGCACCACTTATTACTGCAACAGTATTTCAATATTAAGTGATCTTCAAGATATTTCATCTTTCATTTTGAGTTCTGAATTTGAATCAGCATGAGAATGGCAGGGCAGCAAGATAAGGTATAACTAGGCGGACAGCTGAAGGATGGGAAAAGTATCGCCGAGAATTTCTGGGGCTGTTCTCAGTAACTTTGTTTACAGAGGCATTTTGGTTGCAGCGAGAACTTTAGCAAGAGCCTGCCAGTGATAATGGGCTTATGTTTGAAATTGATCCTAAGTGTCTCTTTTTTTCTCCTTCACAGACATGCTGTGCACACCTTAGCCAAACACTCAAGGCAAAACTTTCCTGATGCCCCATGACATTGTCTAATATAGACAAATCTCTGGATTAGTGTGTTGCAGAAAAAGGGGTTATTTATGAGTTTCTCCTTTTGTTCACAGATGTGTCAATACAAGTAGCTGTAGTCCTGTTTCTTTCTTAAAATGTCTTGCGTGCTTGACTGCCTTAAATGCAAAACAAATCATCTTCGAGGAAGTTGAAGTATGCCTTACAGATTGACCTATAAAATTAATTTCAATTAGGCATTGAAGAGCTCATTATCCTGGTGAGGGGAATTTATGATACCATGCAGGAATTTTGTATTTGTTTCAAAATTGTTGGAAAACTGCGGGAACAAAAAGATTTTGAGGGAAATGCCAAAAGCCACATTAATGAAGAAAAACAGTGTTGAGATACTTTTGAATAATAGATAGGATATGTAATGGTCAACCACAAGATAAAATTTTTACACAGTATTTTTATGGCTTTAAATTGGCTGCATTGTAAACTAAGCTTACTACTCTATTAAGTCATTATACTTTTCAATTATTTAACATTTCTGGCCAACCTATCTTCTGTGGTCTTTTTCTGTACACATCAGAAATGATACGTACAGTAGTAATCGCTTGTTGTTAGTGTGGGGATTTTGCAGTGGAGCAAGGTTTAATTTTAACTCCTTGGGACAAATGTTACAAAGAATGCACCGAGGAGAAAGAATGGGATGGAAACAGACAGAGCCCTGTGAGAATGGGGATGACTACAACATCGAGATGTACCTAATACAATTTGAGTTATTCTGAGAAACCTTGACAGTACCTGCCTTCTAGGTACGGTGCATTTGGAAATACTATATCTCCATTTAAATGCAGATCTTCTGTTTCCTCCAGGGAGCAGTTGGTGAATCTTTCAATTGAACCAGTGGTATGAGAAAACCAACTGAAAATTTCTCCATGAACAATAGCATCTGTCGTTTTGAAGTAATAATTACTAAGTTTTATAATATTGTGATTCTTAAAAAAAATTCCTTTAAAATATCAAAATCATTTATGAGGTCAAAAAAAAAAAAATCACGTACTCGGCCCTGGTGCAAACAGAGAAATTTTGTCTTGTCACTTTGTTGTTGGTTTTTTAAAGCTGTGAGATAATTCAGCTTTTCAATTCAATTTTTAGGTTAACATGGCCATCCCAGTAGAGTAAGTGGGCCTCAGGAATCAGCGCAGGGAATTATGAATAAGTTCTATGTGCCCCGTCATGCTGTCATGCTAGTAGGTAGGGGTGAGGTGCTGTAGGAGAGCTTAAGGACCTTTCTCTGGAATGATCTTCTTTTGATTATTTTGAGCCTCATTCGTAATAGTACCTGGTGTTGGAATCAATGATGGTGGCCAAAAAGGAGGGTCAGGGCCTGTAGGGCCTTCTTTTAAGAGATGATTGTTGAAAGTAATACAGGCCTTTGACATAGAATGTAGATACATAGTCTGATGGTCTTGGATTCGGGTAACTGGAGAAATCTTTGCACATTTTGAAATACAAATTCCTGAGGTACGCAGTATGATAATGTTAAGTCTCTGTGTGTCTTGATCACATAGCTAGGGAAGTTTTCTTTTTTGGGGGGAGTAGGTACCATTCGTTTACTTAACCCTGATGATTTCCAGTGGTGAGAGGCCCCCACCTCCTTAGCTCACCTCCTCCTTTGCATTGGGTATAAAGCCCACCTCCCGTACTCCCTCCGAAGGGTACACCCTATACAGATATTTAATAGTGCGTTTATACCGTTATACACAATATAATACCTGTAGTGGTGAAGAAGAATCATTGATAGTTTTAAAATCAGGCCTTTGTTTATATTTCTCTTATGACGGATACTTTGTTCCTTTAAACAAGGGAAGGGTCATAGCTACCATAAAAGAAGGTTGAATGTCTTGGAATCCCTGTGATAAAATGCAAGACACTGGAGATTCAAAGGTATTTTATTGACTTAGGGACACTTAACGGCTGTTTCCGATGGCCCACCTGCTAAAATAAATAACCTGGACGGGACTCTAAGAAGGGTGCTAATTAATGAATGTGCTTATTTTACTTCCCTTATACAAACACATTATTTGAATTTGGCAAATATGCATCCCTGACATTGTCATTTTTTACTGTTTGAGGATTCAAATTTAAGATGTTAATGTTATGTGAAGCATAGCGAAACTTTTGTGTTATTCTGGCAGATACTTATGTAATAGAATAAACAGTGTTTCCAGATATCTGTGTTACCAGAGTGGCCCATTTAAATTCAACCTTGCTCTAAGATATATTAGGTTAATAAGGCTGATTTTATGACCAATAAAATTTATATTCACAAATACCTGTTTTT